GGGGGGGGGGGGGGGGGGATAATGATATAATTTATTTGCCGCTACAACAGGATACAATGGTAGTACAACAATTCAGAGAACTTCTACCTTCTATATTTAGACCGTAAAACAGTAATTCCTCACCAGTTAAGACACATGAATGCATCTCACATGAAATAAGCCTTTAAATATCAGAAGACTGAATACCAAAATGTCATTTCTCTTCATTCATTTAAAAAAAACCCCAGAACCCAGAAAACAAGGAAACAAAAACACACACGTGACACCACACCAAAACCACCACCCTCCAAACACAAACCCAATCCTATCAGTGCTGACAGATCTTGCCATTAACTGACACAGCAAAGTGCTCCACCTCCGGTAAAAAATGCTAAAAAGAATCTTGAATTTTATTTAACAAGTTTTCAGTTTCAGCCTTCAGAACTACACACAGCAGTATACACCAAAGGAGAATCATCTTAGAACAACTCATATATTCACAAACGGCTCTTAAAAGCATCTTCTTTTTCCCTCCCTCCTCCCAGCTTTTGAAGGAGATAACTTCCTAATGCTGCAAGAGAAAAGTATCAAAGCCTTGCAGAATCAAGGTTAGAATGGGGCTGGTTGTTAGCAGTTTGACAGAGCTACTTTTTTGTTGTTCTTCAATTAAAAAAAAGCTCTACAAGCAACCACATTCAATATCTGAAACTGGGTGTATGACAACTAGTTTACACTTACAAATGCAGGCATGTTTTACAAAGCAAGAAATAAACCCAGTAAACAACATTCTTCTGTCTTGAATATGCAATTAGTTTGCACCACCTGCAGGAAACATCGCTAATGATTCTGATAAGTCTGGTGCAGGGTTAGATACCCTTTTAAGTAAGGGGAACAATGCACCTGTATGCTAGCTAAATCATTGTACAGCAAACAGCAAATATTAGATTGCATATGATAACGCAGGGAAGGATGCATCAACCATTTATATAATTTTCTGTTCTAATTAGATAGTACAAGGTCTTAAGTTTGCATAAGGAAACAAATATTCAAAATGGGAAGGAGAACAAAGATGCTTTTAGAGCATTGTGCTTTTCCTCTTTTTTGTAACAGTAATGCTAATTGGCAGAAACAAAATTACCTTCAAATATATAAGCCTTTGATGAAAAATATAGCCCAACGGGTAATGTAATCATTAGAGCTGTGAAGAATAGAAGTGTTCTTAAAGTTGATGTTAATGAACCCTCATTTCTGAAATAAATAAGAGAAGTTACACAGAGAAGAAAGTCACAGTATATATATGCCTGAAACAGGACATGAACTTGTCCCAAACAGAAGCCAATTACTTTTCAAGAACTGAGTATGTGTATCATTTGGAAGCTATAAAAGAGTTGGAGTATGCATTTGTTGGCTGCAACAGAAAAATCAGAGTATTCAAAAAGATCTAATGATTCTGCCAGTGAAAGCTCACAAACAAGATGAAAAACAGACTTCAGATTTTTTCCCTGTTATTGCTCTGCAAGCATTAACAACATAGGGGGTTTACATTAATAAGTTTATCATCATATTATGTAATTATTAAATATATACTATTAGATACTTATGCACTTGTCATATGACAGTACTGTGCATTAAAGCTTGCCAAGTTCCCTTTTTTAAAAAAAATAACTACAAGTGTAGGAAAATGACAAATACTGCAGGGTAGGTTGCAGAGGGAAGTACACAGAATGACTTTAACAGCTTACTGTTGGAAGTGAAGTTCCTTTTTATCAGATATTGTTCCTCTATTTGAAATGATTTCTCAGTTTCCACGGAGGGAGTTGGAATAACCGTAGCAATAATCAGAACACCAAAGCATTAATAACCTTTTTGCATTCACAGACCTAAAGCTAGAAGACCTTGAGCAAGACAATCACAATGAAGGATTATTCACTTGATAAGGTCTTCCTGAACTTGATCTGCTGGAACAGGTTTTGTATCTACAAAACACCACATACAGCTCATTTTTGTGCGTGCTTCCAACAGTTTTCACTCACTCTGGTTGGCTGACTACATTATGTTATGCTGAAGTAAACATGTAAGCCAAGCAATACCCCTTTGACTTTCAACAACTACTGAGTTCAATGGCACGTGTCCTTAAGGCTTCAAAACACAAATATGCATAAAACCCAATTCAAGTCAGGGATACATAATTCTTAAAACTTCCAGGCACCTCCACAGCAATTTCTGTATCCGTAGTTTCAAACAGTTCTATCAAGACACATTTGTGCCATAGTATATTGCTTGAAATCACATTTTATACTTGACGTGCCTTTGGAAAAATAAGTGGAAGTGGGAAAAAAAAAATAAATTCAATCTCATGTTCTGACAGTCATCAAAAGACTGTGACATGCAGCCACACACAGCTTTTCCACTAAAGCCAGCAGCACTTCTTGTTCATCATGTACTGCCATACATTTAGATAGCATATTCAGTAGCTTGGGAAAAAAAGGCATTTGGTAACTTCTCCTTTACTTCGTTTCACAATCTGCCGGGGTAGAAAGCATAGCACCATTCAAACTTTCCCTACGGAAACTTGAAACTATTCTCTATTTAACACCTACCCATAGAAGACTAAGATGACCTCCCGCTTATTACCAAAGTTCAACACTGCACTGTTGACAAATACCTTTCTTACACTGACATATTTTCATCACTTCTCTAAGCAGCAAAACCAAGTATTTGCGTATAAGCTTTTAACTGCAGACCAGCCTCCGCGCTCGGGTTTCGGGGTTGCCCAGGGTTACAAAGCGCGGCCAAGGCAAACCCGGGGCCTCCTCCACTGTCTTCGGCTCCCCAACAGTGCGGGATGGGCAGACACCCATCCCCGGTTGACCCCCGGGGTGCTGCACCACCATCACCACCACCACCCTCCCAGGCTGCCGGTACCAGGCGCCATCCCGCTGGCCGCGGCCTACAGACCCCCCCTAACCCCGGCCAGGCTGCGG